CCGACAACTGGGATAGATGTCACGTCACTCTAACAAAAGCATCATCATGCAGATAAAAACAATGATAATCTAAAAAGCAATAATTCAGACCAAGTATCGCATTTTATGGCAGTTTACACAGAATAACGGCATGTCAAGAATTACGCGTGGACCTTGAAAATTTTAATTGGGCCTATAATCCAATACTGTATAGCTGTGCAGTCTTTCAGGATTTTTACGAAGTGACTTCATTGATTCTCAATGAGAGTACATAAGGAACCTGACCATGTGCAACCTATATTAGACATCATTTTTAATAAACTTGGAAGTTTGTCAGATTTTGATTTCAAAAATGAATAATGTATTGCAATGGAAACCAAAACAACTCACAGAAGTAATATGCTGGGCACCTTCTGGCCACATGTCCCTCAAGAAGTGGTCACTAGAGTTGTACAAAAGCCGCTTAAAGTCTTGGAACAACAAATCCTTATTCTTGTCCATGAAACCAACAATCTTGTAGGACACATTCCCTGCATAGTGCCTGTGGATCCAGAAAAGGGTCAAATGTGACTTCCAAAAAATAGGAATGCCCAATTTATTTAAACAATGCACATTATTTTAAAGTCTTCATCATGAGCCAAAGTCTTGTCCTGGGGAGTCAGTCTCCTGCTGGTGTAATGCTGATGTCCCTTCAATTTATCATCCATGGCAGCAATCAGCATCTGGAAAATATATCAGGAAAATATATATTTCCAATATATTATGTTTCTATTTTTCAGTCAATTAATTGAGCCATATTGGCACAATGACTCACAGCATCAGTAACTTTGCCAACATTCAAACAGGCTTCATCCATGATGGCAAACATGCCCTTGTGAGATTGTTCCACCAAGTCACAGATGATCTGGTTATTAAAGTAGTCAATCTTGGTCCAAGGGATCCCCTCACGTTTGTATTCCTCTTGCTCTTGCTTCAAGACAAGCTCTGCAACATTAAACCCTTGTGAGATTGTTCCACCAAGTCACAGATGATCTGGTTATTAAAGTAGTCAATCTTGGTCCAAGGGATCCCCTCACGTTTGTATTCCTCTTGCTCTTGCTTCAAGACAAGCTCTGCAACATTAATAAGCCAGAAAATAGATTCTCATTGCCTATACTGTACAACACATTCCACTTGCAAAATGTATTCAAGAGTTTTAGTACTGAATATGTACTGTTCACAGTAAAAGCTTGCTACAACAAATTTTTGAGGCTTCAGAAATATAGTTTATTGTACTGAAGAATTTTTTTATAACAAGATTTTAAAAATTAATGATCGGAAAGCATTCTCACATCAGACCTGCCCATAATCAATTGGCTTTCCTGAAATTTTCAGAATTGTATCATTGCTTGAAAAATTGAGTGACCTTGTAAAAAATTAAAAATACTGCAGCATGAATTTCATCAGTTGCACCAATCAACAGTATTCATTTTGAGAAGATGATAAGTGAAACCACTTGGAAGCATGCTTATTCTCATTGATTACAGCTTCCATTCATTATTACAATAAAAGTCAGTCTGTCACATTTCGGATCCAAAATTTCAGACTGTGCCTGCCTCAAGTCAAGAAATCTTTACCTTGAGAATATACTTAAGATTCCTCAAAAAAGGTTGATTTCCTGGAATATAGGGAAGCTTTTTGTAACAAGGTGCTTTTAACATGTACTCTTTGGGTTTTCTCCTGTGACTTGAGAGAAAGATTGTTTTCCTGAAAATTTTGTATTCCTTGTAACGAGATTTTTCTGCACGACATAGGAAAAAAAAAAAATTTATATTCGAACCAATGAAAAGCTGTTGGAGCTTCTCGTTGCAGTAGTTGATGCAAAACTGCTCGAAGCTGTTCTTGTCAAATATTTCAAAACCATAAATGTCCAGGACTCCGATGACTGATGCCCCACGTCTGTAAGTGCTCTTGTCCTCTCGCACCTCAATCACTTCATTAACCTTCTTCACAATCCAGGTGAAGAGTCTCTCATAGATTGCCTAAAAAGAAAAAA